TTTTTTAATAACAGTCAGATAAAAGAGTCCTTACACAGCATGTACTGACCTCGTCATTGACAAAGCCCGGCTCCCAATGAACTCTATCCATCAGAGTCACCATCAACGCCTCATCATTTTTGGTCATTTCTTTCTGCAATGTTTTTAGGGATTTCCAAGATAGACATCCCACAGGACGATGAGGCGGATTGCTCTCAGACCAAACTTTCTCTACCTATGAATTTTCGGAAATTTGAGGTTAAAACTGTAATCAAATTTCGAACGACTTAAAACTGGAGCAGTTGTCTTAAAGATAGGGCCGAAATTAAACATACTTACTTTACATTTCTTTTCAAGCAGTTTCAGCTTTTCCTTGCAGTGAAGGAACCGCTCTTGGCTGACATTAAATATCAACGTTCCAGAATTTGAGCGTTTTTGTTTTGGGATGTGCYCAAATATCTGGTGTCGATATATCTCTTCCACCACCTCCTCCTTTGGCCATTCAAAAGTGCCATGCTTTGTATCTTCTTCCAAAAAAGAAACAGACAGAACATTGCCCTTTGTCTCATCTACAATTTTACCAACAAAAAACAATGGGCTGTCTGTATAAGCAACTGCGACAAAGTTTTCCTGTAGAATGAAAAGGGTGCGTTCAGCCAGGGATCACAGACCCTTATATGGAGCACTATAAACTTATGCCTCGTATTCCTGTACCTCTGATGGATGATCTGTCGCTGTGGATTCGGTGCACTTCGCTTTCTTTACAGCAGTCTACAAAAAAAATATTTTGAATTTATTTTTTAGCATATAAATTCAAGCTTAATTAGTTAAACTTACCGTGTCAGGACTTATACCGAATTGCTTTCTTTTTTTCGCAGGGCTTACTTTTATTGACTAAAAAAATCCGGGTAGAGAAGATGAATAAAAGTGTCACTAGGAAAATTATATACATGTATTTATTACTCGGTTTTTAAGATAGACTAACCAAACTAACATCGTGTTCTTCTTTCACCTCAGCAATGATAGTCTGGGACTGAACAAATGAATTAAGTRAAAAAGTTGTCAGCAGAAATAACAGTAAAAATGGCTCGCAAGTTTCACTTCAAAGACTAACCTCATTAACCTCGTGTTTTGTTGTCTCTTCTGAAACGAAATTGCTTCCAATGTCGTTCTCGTCATTCTGGAATGGAATTAACTCAAGAAATATTAATGTTAAAAATTACTAACCCGACACATAGATTGTGYTGTACAAACTTACCTCTGGGACTGTTACCATGAAGGTAGCCGCCTCCTTTACTTCTTCTAAAAGAAGAGTTACACTCTCCGACACCTGTAAAGTAACAATCTTTTAGCAATTTATAAARTTTGCGGAATAGAATTGTCAATCTTGCCTGAATTTCTGTTGAAATTTCATTAACTTTATTTCCATTGCACTTGGTCCTTGTCTTGAAAGAATTGGCTTTAACTGAATGCTTTGATTCATAAAACGCAAATAAAAAATGTTGCGCGCATGAAAAGTAAGCAAATAAGTAAACATTACAATGATCTCAAATACCTCTGTACATGGAGGTGTTTCTTTTTCAAGACTTTCTTCGCTTTCCTAGCAAATGTGTAATTATTCATATAATGATTGTTAACTAATAAYGCTGATCCAGTCTTAGCATACTGCGAAGATGTGTKTATGCTTACCTCATCATCAAATTTAAT